TTCCTAAAATGGCGATGACATGTGCGGCGACGGAGCAGGGATGTCTGGGAAGGCGCGCAGACAAGGCGCGCTGACCCATAATGCATTCATTTATGACATGTGATCGCATTAGCCAATCAGCAGCCAGCCAGCCAGCACTGTGTAATGGTCCAGCTATAAATGGCGGCCATTTTTAGAATTCTCCATTTGCCTCCAGTCATTCAACAGAGGCAGACCTGGCTGTATTGAGGGAGAGAGTTAGGGCCACAGAATCGTTACTTAGGGCCACAGAATCGTTACTTAGGGCCACAGAATCGTTACTTAGGGCCACAGAATCGTTACTTAGGGCCACAGAATCGTTACTTAGGGCCACAGAATCGTTACTTAGGGCCACAGAATCGTTACTTAGGGCCACAGAATCGTTACTTAGGGCCACAGAATCGTTACTCAGGGCCACACACAGAATTGTTACTGAGGGACGGACACAGAGAATTGTTACTGAGGGACGGACACAGAATTGTTACTGAGGGACGGACACAGAATTGTTACTGAGGGACGGACACAGAATTGTTACTGAGGGACGGACACAGAATTGTTACTGAGGGACGGACACAGAATTGTTACTGAGGGACGGACACAGAATTGTTACTGAGGGACGGACACAGAATTGCTACTGAGGGACGGACACAGAATTGCTACTGAGGGACGGACACAGAATTGTTACTGAGGGACGGACACAGAATTGTTACTGAGGGACGGACACAGAATTGCTACTGAGGGACGGACACAGAATTGCTACTGAGGGACGGACACAGAATTGCTACTGAGGGACGGACACAGAATTGCTACTGAGGGACGGACACAGAATTGCTACTGAGGGACGGACACAGAATTGCTACTGAGGGACGGACACAGAATTGCTACTGAGGGACGGACACAGAATTGCTACTGAGGGACGGACACAGAATTGCTACTGAGGGACGGACACAGAATTGCTACTGAGGGACGGACACAGAATTGTTACTGAGGGACGGACACAGAATTGTTACTGAGGGACGGACACAGAATTGTTACTGAGGGACGGACACAGAATTGTTACTGAGGGACACAGAATTGTTACTGAGGGACACAGAATTGTTACTGAGAGGGGGACACAGAATTGTTACTGAGGGACACAGAATTGTTACTGAGGGACACAGAATTGTTACTGAGGGACACAGAATTGTTACTGAGGGACACAGAATTGTTACTGAGGGACACAGAATTGTTACTGAGGGACACAGAATTGTTACTGAGGGACACAGAATTGTTACTGAGGGACACAGAATTGTTACTGAGGGACACAGAATTGTTACTGAGGGACACAGAATTGTTACTGAGGGACACAGAATTGTTACTCAGGGACACAGAATTGTTACTCAGGGACACAGAATTGTTACTCAGGGACACAGAATTGTTACTCAGGGACACAGAATTGTTACTCAGGGACACAGAATTGTTACTCAGGGACACAGAATTGTTACTCAGGGACACAGAATTGTTACTCAGGGACACAGAATTGTTGAATTAAAGAGTATGTCAGACAACATGCAGAGGAGTGGCAGAGGAGGCAATGTTTTAGGAGCGAGCAGACGTGGCAGCAGAGGAAGGGGTCGAGGCAGCACTAGTCGCAGCCAGAGGCCATTGCTCCCCGGTGTCATCCAGTGGTCGTGTCTCCACCGACAACCCTGCCATCGATTGGTTGGCTCGGTCGTCTTCCTCTTCCCAGGTCACCTCTGACACCTACAGCCAACGGTCGGTGGGTACGTCAGACACAACCGTTAGTTGGCATGGCCCGGGAGCAAGCCCACTGAAATCACGTGTCCTCGACCTGCCCCTGTCCTTTGGTGTTCCCTCACCAAGCGAAGTATCGCATGCTGTGGGCTCAGCCCCACTGTACAGTGAGGAAGAGCTAACAGAGGGCGGTCAGGAACGGGGGGAGACATCCGCCTCTTCAGCAGCCAGGCGAAGAAGTAGTGGCGAGGAGAGTGGCTTGGTAGCCGGTCTAGAGACAGGTCTGTCTCCTGACCCACACGCAGCCGAGGGGGCTAGTAGTGAGGCGGAGACCCTAATTGATGATGATGAGGCTGATATCACTTGGCAGCCTCGTTGTCATCAGGCTATTGCTTCCGCATCATCAGGAGAAGAGGGTGGCAGCTTGGCAGCGAGCAAAACAGTCGGTGGGTTGCCCAGGAGGCAGCAGGGTTGCAGCAGTGTCAGTGGAGGCAAACGGCCACGGAGTAGAGCACCACCAGCTCCACTGCAGCCTACCACCACGGCCAGTAGTGGTGCCGGTGTGCACGAAGGAAGTAGCAGTCAGCCAGTGAGGAGTATCGGGGGCAAAGTTTCCTACTCGGCGGTGTGGCAATTTTTCGTCAAGCCGCCCGAGGAAGTAAACGTAGGCGTATGTCGACTATGTGGCCAGAAAGTCAAGCGTGGCCAGGGGGCCCTGTTGGGACTACAGCGTTGCGGCAGCATATGCAGCGTCGCCATTTGGTGGCCTGGGAAAACCGTGATAAAGATACGGCGGTTCTGCCTGCCCCAGCCCCCGCTCCATCACCCGCTCCATTACTTGCTCTGTCACCCGACGTCAATCGCCCTGTATCAGCCAGTCAAGGCTCCAACACCTCTGCTGAGGGGAGTTGTCGCTCGTTTGGCATCTTCCGCTCGTTCAGATGCTCCTTCTCCTGCTACTCCTCTTCAAGGATTCCGTCAGCAGTCTTTCTTGGAATCCGTTTCCAAGAGACAACAGTTTGCGAGCACGCACCCGACGGTGCAAAAGCTGAACGTCCTCCTGTCCAAGTTGCTGGTGCTGCAGTCCCTCCCTTTCCAAGTGGTGGACTCAGCACCTTTCCGAGAAATGATGGCTTGTGCCGCGCCGCGGTGGAGAGTGCCAAGCCGTCATTTCTTCGCCAAAAAAATGGCAGTGCCAGCCCTGCATTCACATGTAGAAGAGATGGTGGGCCAGTCTTTGAGCATGTCGGTCTCTGCCAAAGTGCACGGCAGCGCCGACGTGTGGAGCTGTAACTACGGTCAGGGACAGTACATGTCATTTACGGCCCACTGGGTGAACGTGGTGCCGTCACAGCCGCACCAGCAACTTGGACAGGTCACGCCGCTTTTGCCTCCACGTTTGCACGTCCTTGGTCCACAAAAGATGTCCGCCTCTACCACCTCTTCTTCCTTCGTGTCCTCAGCCGCCACCCCCGTGCCAAGTCCCATTACCCGACCGGCATATCACATGTGCAGGGCGCAACGGTGTCACGCTGTGCTGCACCTGGTATGCCTTGGCGAACGTAGTCACACAGGGGAGGAACTTCTGAGTGTAATGAACAGAGAAATCGACAGATGGCTGTCTCCGCGCAAACTGAAAATCGGAACCATGTTGACCGACAACGGAAAGAACATGGTGTCTGCTCTGCGTCAAGGAAGGTTGTGCCATGCGCCATGCATGGCTCACGTGTTCAATCTGGTTGTCTAGCGGTTCCTAAAATCCACCATCCCACTGCAAGACATCCTTAAAATGTCACGTAAACTTTGCATGCATTTCAGCCATTCCTACACCGCAAAGCACACCCTCCTTGAGCTGCAGCGGCAGAACGGAATTCCACAGCATCGCCTGATCTGCGACGTTGCAACAAGGTGGAATTCAACCCTACACATGTTAGACCGCCTTTACGAACAGCGAAAGGCCATCATCACCGATTTCCTGATGTTACAAGCGGATAAAGGTACTCCCCTGTGTAACTTCGATGTCAGCCATTGGCAGCTCATGCGTGACACCCTGCCGCTTGCTCAGGCCCTTTGAGGAGGCCACGCTATTCGTGAGTCGGCAGGACTATGGGATGAACGACGTCATTCCTCTGTTGCACGTCCTGGAACAAATGCTGTTAACAATGGCTGGTTAGGGTGCGGTAGACGTGGCGCACAGATCTCAACGCCACATGACCCCTGTGGGGGCAGGACAGGAAGAAGAGGAGGTAGAGGAGGACATTTGTGCTCAGGAATTATTGAGTGAAATGGGTGGTTTTTCCACTCAGCGGACAGGAGTGGAGGAGCAGGAGCATCTGGTAGAGGAGGAGGAGACAGAGGACCCAGACGCACCGTGGCAGTATGCTGTGGAGATGGAGGCAGGGAGTCCCTCGCATTCCTTGGCACAAATGGCCCATAGCATGCTCGGTTGCTTGCGTAGTGACAGCCGAATAATAACCATCAGACAGAGGGATGACTTTTGGCTGTCCACCTTGTTGGACCCTCGCGCTACCGTTCAAAAATGGTGGCCTTTTTCACACCTGCTGAGAGGGAGGCCAAAATAACGTACTATAAAAACCACCTATGTAGTCAGTTGGTCTCTGCCTTTGTGCGCCAACGTCCATCCTCAGACACTGTGGGCCCTGTGCGCTCGCGTTCCGCTGCCATGGCAGCAGGGGAGGGGTGGGTGGTAGGAGCAGTGGCAGCTCCACCAGCAGCGGCTGCCTCAGTCTGCAGTCGATGATGAGTAGCTTTCTTCACCAGCGCAGTGAGGAAACTACTAACCAGCCGCAGCAGCATCAGGTGGACCTGGAGCAGGACCTCAAACAACAGGCTTGGGCCTACTTGGACAGCACCCTGCCAACCGAGGTAGACAATCCCCTTGACTACTGGGCAACGAAACTTGACCTTTGGCCCCAACTAGCTGAATTTGCCCTTGAAAGGCTGTCATGCCCGGCCAGTAGCGTGGCATCGGAGCGCGTGTTTAGTGCGGCAGGAGGTATTGTAACTCCGCGGAGGACACGACTGTCCACCCAAAGTGTGGAGAGACTCACGTTTGTGAATATGAATCAGGCGTGGATTAGTCTGGATTTCAAACCACCAGTTCCTGACACAACTGACTAAATCCGCCATGAATCATGCCCCAAACATGTGCCACTTTCAGGTCTCCTCACACTGCTGGTGTGTTACTTTTTTTGTCATAGGGTACTGGCAGATTACGGGCCTCCCATTGCTGCTGCCAGGCCCCTAATCTGCCATGGGCCCCTGTACCGCCTCCTCATGCTGCTGCCAGGTCCACAGTGTCTCATGCCATGTACCACTTTCAGGTCTCCTCACACTGCTGGTGTGTTCCATTTTTTGTCATAGGGTGCTGGCAGATTACGGGCCTACCATAGCTGCTGCCAGGCCCCTAATCTGCCATGGGCCCCTGTACCGCCTCCTCATGCTGCGCTGCCAGGTCCAGAGTCTCTCATGGGTCCCTGTACGGCCTCCCATTGCTGCTGTCTCCATCGCCACACTCTGCCATGTGCCACTTTTAGGTCTCCTCACACACTGCTGGTGTGTTCCATTTTTTGTCATAGGGTGCTGGCAGATTACAGGCCTCCCATTGCTGCTGCCAGGCCCCTAATCTGCCATGGGCCCCTGTACCGCCTCCTAATGCTGCTGCCAGGTCCACAGTGTCTCATGCCATGTGCCACTCTCAGGTCTCCTCACACTGCTGGTGTGTTCCATTTTTTGTCATAGGGTGCTGGCAGATTACGGGCCTCCCATTGCTGCTGCCAGGCCCCTAATCTGCCATGGGCCCCCGTACCGACTCCTCATGCTGCTGCCAGGCCCGTAATCTGTCATGGGCCCCTGTTGTCGCTTGTTGGCATATTCCGCTCATTCAGATGCTCCTTCTCCTGCTACTCCTCTTCACGGATTCCGTCAGCAGTCTTTCTTGGAATCCGTTTCCAAGAGACAACAGTTTGCGAGCACGCACCCGACGGTGCAGAAGCTGAACGTCCTCCTGTCCAAGTTGCTGCTGCCAGGCTCGTAATCTGTCATGCGCCCCTGTACCGCCTCCTCATGCTGCTGCCAGGTCCAGAGTGTGTCATGGGTCCCTGCACGGCCTCCCATTGCTGCTGCCAGGCCCGCAATCTGCCATGGGCCCCCGTACCAACTCCTCATGCTGCTGCCAGGCCCGTAATCTGTCATGGGCCCCTGTACCGCCTCCTCATGCTGCTGCCAGGCCAGAGTCTCTCATGGGTCCCTGTACGGCCTCCCATTGCTGCTGTCTCCATCGCCACACTCTGCCATGTGCCACTTTCAGGTCTCCTCACACTGCTGGTGGGTTCCATTTTTGTCATAGGGTGCTGTATGGCCTCCCATTGCTGCTGCCTCCACCGCCACACTGTGGCTCCACACTCTGGTTTTGGCCCCCGTGACTGCCCAAATGAGTGAAGTGTGCGGTGATTCTAAGATCGACGGCACTCATCTGCATGTCATACTGACTGACAGTATTATTTCTCTTCCCCAGCAGACTCCAAGGGCATTTAAATTAAAGGTACAGTGTTCTGCACTACTATAAAGGCTCTTTGAAGCCTAGAAACACCCTTTTATAAGTTAAATTCGCAGCGAATATATTCGACTCGAATGAAAATTTTTTTTCACGAATTCGCCGAATCAGTCGAATCGAATTTTTGAATAATTCGCTCATCTCTAGTCCCCAGCACAGCCTCCGAACCCTGCTTCTCCAGCGGGCACAGCCCAAGCGGTGATGGCGCTCCTCACACCCACCCTCACAGAAGCTGTGGATAATGCAGTCCTTAAAGTCCTAGAACAGCTCCACCAGGATCTCCATACCCAGGCCCAGAGAATTACTCAGATGGAAGAACAGATCTCTTTCATTGAAGATGACTCCGTGGCTATATCTGCAGTGGTGGCAAGACTCACAACCACACAAAGGGAGCTACAAGACAAGGTAGATGACCTTGAAAACCACTCACAGCGGAACAACTTATAGGCACATTATAGGTCTGCCTTAAACATACACCCACTCTATGCTTGTTAATGTATGTTCAATGTCCATTGAGTGAGCACACCATCTCAGCCCTCCATCAGATTCTTGCCCTAAACTTAGGTTGGTGATAGTCCGCTACTTGAACTATGCTGACAAGCAGACCATCCTTAAACAAATTCCGACAAGCATGCACCTTGTCTGTGGATGACCATCAACTGCTCTAATTTACTGACTACTCAATCGAGGTTATGTGCCAAAGCTTTTTCTTCAATTTGCTCTACTCTCTACTGTAATCATATCAAATTCACTCAGCCGTACCCTTCTGTTCTGCATATCCAACCTACTGATGGGAATCGTGTCTCCTAGCTTCACCTCATCTGGTATCCTGGGCCTTGCAAATCTCATAATCTTGTCATATACTTGGTGGGGATTTTAATTCGGTTATGCACCACTACGCCAATTGTACCAGTGACCATCTTCTGCAGTGCACACAGCAGCCATCTCAGACTCCCCCCCCCCCCCCCCCCCCCCACCACCATTCTAGCTCTATGCTCAATCTATGTGATGCAACCAACACCCAACGTTCTACTCACACCCACATGATTCTCCAACATTGACTACTTCTTGTGTTCACCATCTTTTCTTCCCTTGCTACATAAGACAGCAATATTCGACATGACCATCTCTGATCATTGTCCAATTCTAATGCAGTTTTCTGGGTTGAAAGCTCTGAGAGCTTCCAGTTCCTGGTGCTTTCCCACCTACCTAGCTAATAATGTGGATTACACATTTACATGGCTTGGGCAGAATTCGCAGCCATGAATGGAGCTCATTAAACAACCCTAATCTGTTCTGGGAAGCTGGGAAAACATTCCTCAGAGGGTGTATAATATCCTATACCACGCAATTTAAAAAACAACCTCAACTTCAATACTGCCAGGCCACTGAACTTCTTCGTCAAGCACATATTGCTCTCTCCCTTAATCATACTCTGGCGAACAAGCTGACCTGGCAATCTGCTAAACGTGCTTTTGATTACTGGGCTGAAAAGCAGGAGGCAGCTAAGCTAGCCTAATCCACCCTGAAATTCCATAGATACCACAATAAGGCAGGCAAATTGGCATGGCTCTGTGCTGGCCCCCACACTCCCACTTACGTTTCAACTCTCTGGTCTCCCTCTGGAAAACTTACAATGCCCTCTGAAATTGATGCTCTTCTTTCTTCCTATTACACATTTTTATATCAAGAGGATCCGGTAGATTACAATGCCACTGAGGACTTATGTCTACCTGCCCAAACTTACACAAACCTAGCTGGAAACTCTTAATGCTCCAATCACGCTAGATAACATCCACACCACAATTAAGATACTACCTTCTGTCAAGGCTCCAGGCCCTGACGGCTTCAGTGCCCAATTCTATACATTAACCACAGACTTCATCCCAGACACTCTGCATCATGTTTGCAAGGCAATGTGGGCTGATGGACCTTATCTTCCAACTGGCTCCCAAGCACATATACAACTCATTGCCAAAAAAGGAAAGGACCCACTATCACCAGGATCTTACAGACCTATGTCTCTGATCAATGTCGATGCCAAAATCCTTTCTAAAATTGTAGCTGTTATCCCTCGATGTCTAAAAGGCTTTTCACAATATTAGCTTCGCCTGCCTCTTTGTGGTCATGTGGAAGTTTGATTTTTCGGGTCCAATTCTTGACTTCATACAAAAGGTTTTCCTCACCCATGGCTAGATTGGTCACCCCTGACCTTATGCCCTCAGACATTCCCCTAATCAAGGGTACAAGACAAGGATGCCCACTTTCTCCCCTTCTTTTTAACATTGCTTTAGAACCCTTATCTGGGCTTCTCAACTCTAAAGCGGGGGTTAGTGGTGTCACAATTGGTGACCTCCTGTTTTGTTCAGCTCTATTTGACGATATACTATCATTCTCCTCTGATCTACCGTCGGATTTTAGATTACTTCAAAATCTGTTTGCGACCTTCTGCAGTTGCTCTGGCCTGCGAATCAATTTTGACAAGAGTGAAGTATTGCCTTTGAACCCAACTACTTCGGCTCGCTGACTCGCATCTTTTCCATTCTGTATAGCTAAACACTCTATTACCTATTTGGGCATACACATAGGTAGAGAACCATTGTCACTTTATTACCTTAATTACCCTCCCTTAATTAATAAGATTGTACAGAAGTTGGAAGCTTGGTTGGCTCTTCCTTCCTCACTCTTTGGGAGATGCCATCTCTTCAAAATGATCTCATTTGCAAACACTCCCCATTTTGTTGCATTCTGATATACAGAAACTACATACGGCCTTACAGGCCTTCTTATGGCAACGCAAAAAGCCACGCATTGCACTTCAGAAATTGTGTCTTCTCAAGAGTGAGGGTGGGGCAGGTATGGCTAATATTAGATTTTACAATCTGTCCTGTCTCGTCAGGATCTTGACTGGCTATCCATGAAATCACGCTACTCAAACTACTCTTTAGAATAAAACCTTGGTGTTTCCACTGCATCTCTCAGCCATTTTACATTCAAAACTTAAATCTCTCCCTGTCTCTCTTAGATCCAATTTACTGATTAGAGACACCGTTTTAGCCTGGAGAGAGGTATGAGGACTTCTTGGCTTATCACTGAGTATATCCTGCTGCTTGCCCATACTTGGAAACCTTATGTTTCCTCCCTCTAGTGAGCATACAGCTTTTACCCACTGGTCACACAATGTCATGTCAGTCTTTGATAACACCCAAACATCCTTTAAATCTTTCTCAGATCTAGCTACTCAATACTCCCTCCCTGGATCCCACATCTTCCACCACCATCAGCTGGTGAATTATCTTCAGTCATGTTACTCCCCTCAACAGGTCCCCTTCAAAAGCTCCTTCATAGATGTACTACTTCGTCAAGATCACTACTCCATCTCAGACATCTATCCTCATCTTATCACTCATCAATCCACAAAATACCATCTTACTCCATTCAAACCATGAACTCATATACTTTGTAAGAATGACACTCCAGAAAAACTTTTAATGGGATACCAGACAATTGCTTCATTGGTGCTCTGTGAAACATGCCGTGAAACTCAATTTAAGATCATTCACCATTCTCCTATGACCATGGCGGGTCACTGCTCACCCAATGTGCCCATGGTGCTATCAAAACTGGCCTGCCCTTTTCCACCACCTTTGGGAATGTAATCAAGTTTCTACCTTTTTGGGACCAAGTTCTACATTATATCACTCAACTTTATAACATCACCGTCTCCAAAGATCTCATGATCTGTCTATTTGGCTACGATGAGCCTATAAGCTCAACACACCTCTCCACATTCCCTCAGTGGATTCATATTTGCCTACTGGTGACCCGCAGAGCCCTTCTACAAGACTGGTTCCACCAAAACCCTCCACCTCTTAAGGCAGTAATACAAGCGCTAACTAACCTCTTTAACCTGGAAAAGCTAGACACTATCACCCAAAAATTTCAAGTCCACTTGTCGATTCATCGCTAGATGGAGCTGCTTCATAGAAAATTATTTTTCACCAGCTGAACTTGCCTCCCACATGGAACTGTTTCAATAGACGATCTGGTATCTCAAAGCCCAACTACCAACATACTGGGTAGATTCCAAGTGACCAATTCAGTTGCTGGCCCAGCCCCCCACTTGCCCTCCTCCCTGCCTCCCCAGGTATCCATGATGTGTGTCCCACCCAGCCCCCACAA